TGTATTCTGCTAAAACCCACAAGTGTCTTATCACTGTGTCACTTAAAAAAACACAATAAAAAAGCACTGTAAAATATTAAATAAGTAAACATTAGTGCTTAAAAAATATAACACTCTAGGGTCTTAGCAGTCTTTGTAAGAGCTTCCATGAAATCCACACTACGAGAGCTACCCTCTTAGCAGTAGATTTATACAGCACAAGACAGTGGACATCATTCAGCTTGACAAAGGATTTCAATATAAATGGACTAAGGGAGAACCTAGAAATTAATATGTGTGTGTGTGTATATATATCAAAAGTTTGAAAAAAATATCTTCCTACATTACTCAATAGCTGCCATCAAAGCTGTATTAATAATGCCATTAGACACACAATATCAGGCCTTGAGCTCGGGCTTGTGTATTATCTTATTTAACTTTCAGATTTATGAGATTAAATCTTATGGACATGATATGTCAGTGTTACGCATATATTAAGTAGCAGGGCCAGTAAAACCCAGAAAGTCTAACTGCAGACCCCTTACCTTAATCATACAGAAAATTGAGTACATATAAAGAACATTTTATTCAAATTATTTTAAAATCCAGATGCAAATTTAAGAAATTCACTGAATGCAAATAATACTAACTTAAAATTGTTTTAATGTCAAATGGATGAACATTAAAACACAGACCTCACCTGTTCCTTGTATTTTAAAAAATATGCCAGTAAATGGTCATCCGGAATTGAAGCAACCTTCCTTTCAGTATTTAAATTGAAATATCATTAATGGACAATACTTTTCGTAGGCTAACACTTTACCATATGCTCATCCCCAAACATATCACACAAGAAGAATTCACCCTGTCTAATATGAGGGCCAGATTAAGGTTTTAGAAAATTTAAACACGAAAAAGTATGATACACCCTATCATGAAAATCACACTAAATGGGAAAGCTAATATGTGTACACGTGAAGACAAATAGCTTATGTCAAGTTTTTCTACCTACAACTTTCAGGATTCATCCATTGTAACAACTCATGTGGGAGTTACCTATCTGTTTGCTTCTAAGACAGTCACCCCAAATGCAACTAGTTTACACAAAGACTGTTGAAAATGCTGCACTGGGTTTAAGGAAGGAAGTGTTAGACCTTCTATTATATTATGATGTTTTAATGGTTTATTTAGTTATGCATACAGAACTGGGGTACAGGCCAGAGATGCAGAGGGTGAGAGATTCACCAGAGACAGAGTGGGGAGCAGAACAGGCAGATCAACCAAGTACACTGTGCTTTTGGATCACCTCTGGGGCTGGGGATCGAACTGGCACCCAATTGGCTTCAGCCAGCCTGCAGTGCTGTGTACTAACCCGTTGTGCCACCAGGGAGGGCTCCTTGTGTTTATTTTTAAATAGAAGCAAATTATTTTTGCAAATATTTAAAACAGTAGTGGATACAGGAGGACTCACTTGGCCACAGATAATCTCATCCTGTTCACAAGATGTTCAGAGGGCAGCTCTGACGTAGAGGTATTGCTGGAGGGATGGTCCAGCAGCCCTGTTCAATGGAAGAAATCTGTGTTAGCTTACTAAGCCTCAGATTAAAATGTTAATAATCAAGTGCACATGTAACTTCAGTACCCAAATACATTTCTTTATAAAGTAGCCTTCTAGATAAAACCCAGAGACTCAGGAAGCTGTCTCTAATATTGTCACTACACCAGTCCATTGCAAGTGTCCACTTCCGTTACATGTCTTTCACTGATAGGGAAAAAAAGAAGAGCTGGAGTCACAAGCTCAAAGAAGATACAAATGTGTATTTTTATCAGTTAGTATGTGCCTTCCTATTCTTTTAAAAAAAAAATTAACCTTTATTCAATGAGTAATTAGCATCTAGAAGTGAGGTATGACTTCAACCAGAAGTCAAGCAATGGATTGTGGGCAGGGGTGACGGGGAGACTGCACCTCAAGGCAGGAGAATCCTCTGATCTGTAAATACAGGCCCAGGGGATGCCTCACAACTTTCCTCAATCAAGCCCCAAACTTTGTCTCCTCTCCTCCTGCCCTCTTCCGTCCACTCCTCAGCTCCTTCTCTCTCCCTTCCTCCCCTCCTCTCCTCTCCTCTTTTCAGTTTGGAGTTAACCTGTTCAACTAACCACCTCCAGGACATATGTTCCATATTTCGTATGCTGGCTCTTTCTTTTGATGCAAAGACACTTCTGCTTCCATATGACCTTGACAATATGTTGCTATGTCATTATTTAATCAATGTTCTGTTTCCCAAGAATCCTAGGAAGGGTTTCCTGCTCACTGAGAACAGGTGTGAGCAGAAAGGAGAGGCGTCGGTGTTAGGGCAGTTTAATTCTCACCCTGCTGAGATCCCTTGCTATGTGATTTCTGGCCATTTCTTTAACTCTCCTGAGGTACAACTACTATTCTAAAACATGCTGTTGTGAGGGGAGAGAGGAATTAGTTGATTGGCTACTGGTGAACAAGACATTTAGAACAAACAGTCGATTCTGTTTACAAGGGATTGAGGCTTTAGAGTTCTTGGCCCTATTTGCAGAAATCTTTCTTCAAAGAAGTTCAGCTTTCAATACCTTTAAGAAAATGCATTGAGCTGATCAAGAGAAGGATCATTTTTAAGTTGAGTGCAAAACCCAAAGCTCACTTAGTTCTCCCTGGCTTATCCCACTACTGGTTAGACTTATGTTCTTGGGCAAAGACAACTGTTTTTCCTGGCTCTTCTCCTCAAATATGCAGACAAATCCTCGATGGCAGCAACAGACAGAGAAGAGATGATAGCCAGCTCTGTTAAAAGGGAGCTGGTAATGAGTCCTGTTTACTGGTGCCAAATTGCATAGCTGGTCTAATATAGAAAAAAATAGTTCAGCATCCAAAGTTGCTATTGATCATAGTATGTGTGACCTTATTCTTTTTTTTTTGAACTGAAGTTGTTGCAATTCAGAGTGATATTGAAAAAGAAATGAATAGGAGGTTGTGTTCAGTTAAGAACTGATTTCATAGAACCAGCATGAGAAATTCTATCAAACGTGCTGGAGGAACTGCTAAAAAAGACGCAGACATTAAAATCAAAGAGTATGATGGCTTATTTTATATCTGAACTGATAACTAACTGATTATTAATGGTCACTTTGTGAAGAACCAGGATTTGCATTTTTAAGGCCAGTTTTGTTCTTCCAGTTTTGATCTTGAAATCCTCCCCTCCCCCAATATCATTTCAGCTTTTGCCCATGTAATTGTGAGGGTTTTGCAATTCTAGGTTAAATATTTTATGGTAGCTTACTTTTGGATTTGTTACTTTTTATGACTATTATGTTGTCATGGCAAAAGTCTTGTGTAATATGAGAACTATAATTTCCATTTCACAAAGAAAATAATGATTCTTCAAGCTGACTTAAGGAGCTCAACAATTTAAATCAATAGCAAAGAGCTTATACTTAAGAATCATTTGAGTATAGTTGATTTGTTTACACCTAAGGACACACGGTTAAGTGGCCATTAATTAATGTTTTCCGTGACAACAAACTTAGATCTCCCCAGTATTGGTCATGGAAACATTTGTTCGTTTCATATCACTAGTTCTTTTAACACAGCCAAGATAGTTTCATTAGGAATTCAGAACTTTGACCAGGGTTCAAGGAAAACTGTCTTCCTCTTTTCTCCTTGAAATTCCTTGTTGCATCTGCATCTTAGAATTTCCAGAGAGTAAGCACTCTTGTAAAAGAAACATAATACACTCCTTGCTATTCAACCTACTTTGCTTTTCTAGATGAATGAGAACTTAATGTCGTGGGTGGAAAATCATCTTATTTGGAGTTTTTAGATATCTCTGCCAAAAGTATTAACTAATTTTGAAAGCAAATTTTAAGAAAACACTGCTCTTATTTAGCACAGGATGATATCGTTAAATGAGTTTCCGGTTTCTCTTTATTTTAAAGTATATAACCTCAAAAAAAGGATGTATTTTTTGAACATTGACAGTTTATTTTTTCCCCTTATTTCTCTGCAATGAAGGGTGGTTCAATCAATCCCTTGGAATTGTCAGGCAGTAGCAATCACAGAGCTGCTGTGTTCACTGGGCTGTGAGGTCCAAGGTGACTTCTTGTACGTAGGTGATGGTCATGCTGCCTATCAGCTGGCGCCTTAGTTCTCCACATCTGGACTCCATCCAAAGGACCTCACAGGTCAGTGCTGTCCTTCTCCTCACTTCCTTTCCTCCTGTTATGTTGTGGCCCTTATTGCTCATGGTGCTTGGAATAGTTTTTTATTTCTCAATCAATAAATAAAGCATGTAGACATCTCAGCTTCCCAGCTCTTTCGCACTAAACTAGTCCATGCTGTTTTGCTATATTTTTGCCACTTATTATATATATTTTTTACAATTTCTATAACCTGTGAGACCAGCATTTCTGACCTGTCTATTTATACACTGAAAAACAGAAAAATATGGCACATTTTCCATTACCAAGCCTTACTTTGCTTGGCATAGTTTTTTATTTCTTAATCCAGCTTATTCCTGACTTATGTACTCAGAGACTTCGAAAAGGACTCTTTTACTTCAATGAATTTGAAGAGATATTATTTTGTTGTCCATATTTTTGTGTCTTTATTAGCATCAAAATATATTTTATTTTTTTATATAAGTAGAATATATTTTCCACAATCATAATTTTTCAGACATACATAAAACTAGAGTACATGATATATACATATGTCTATCACAAGAGAAGAGTCTTTAGAGATAGTGCTTTAACTAAAACATAACTTCTATAGCTAGATTTTCAAACTCAAAGCAAGCTGGTAGAGATTTTTTTTTAAAGATTTTATTTATTTGTGCATACAGAACTGGGGTACAGACCAGGGGTGGTGAGAGGCTTCACCAGAGACAGAGTGGGGAGCAGAACAGGCAGATTGAAGAAGTACACTGCTGAGGGGAGCAGCGGGCGGATCAGGAGAGGTCTGCCACGCCATGTGGTCACCTCGGGGGAGGCGGGAATCGAACTCATGCGGAAACGGCTTTAGATTCTCAGTGCTGTGCTTTAACCGGCTGCGCCACCAGGGAGGGCCAAGAGATGTTTTGATGGTTGATGGTGCAACGTATCCTCTTCAAATCACAGGTAGCAATTTCAAGTGGAGAGATAATAACTGAAATGAAATTATTCTTCATCCTCTCTTCCAATCAACACTCACTAGGTACTTCCTATATGCTGGTACTGGGGTTACCTAGGTGAGGAAGACAATTTCTGGTATGTGATCAAATACCGTGTGACAAATATTTGCACCAAGTTATAGGGGTGCCAGTAGAAATATATCTGGCCTCTTTTGTTTTTAAATATGTACTTCTTGATATAATTTGTAAACATCCTATAGTTCCATGGTCTTCTTTCTATATTTTATCCTTTCAATAGAGAAATAAGATGATTCAGTCAAAAAAGAAAAAAGAAGATTGTAATGAATCTTTTTAAAGTTCCTGATATAAACCACTATTCTTGGTTACTTAAGAAATTTGACATGTCATCCCACTTAAGTCTATATTCCATTGAAGTTCTAGGGATCTAGAAATGGTATCCAGGACTGAGAAGATCTCAGCAAAAATGGAATGTATATCGTATCCATCATCATGGAATTCACATTTCTGATTATTTCAGCTTAGGAAGAATGAGGTCTGCAAAGCATTTTTAGAAAGATCATGTCCTTGATCAGCAATTATTATGAAAACCTCAAACCATCAAGTAATAAATAGAACTGGTAAGCAATGCTTGAAAGCCCTCGTTTTAAGCAATTTTGCTCTAATAACATGACAATGAGTGCGAATTGTTTCTTTGAATTAGCTGTAATGAGAGGTGACTAAAATGTTCACTTACCTTGAACATCTTTGCTTCTATTTACTTTTGAATTTTTATTGAATAAGCCATCCATTAAGTAAGAAGATTCATTTTTCTATAATGAATGCAAAATTCAATTTTTCTTAATTTATGATTCATATAGCATGGAGAATTAAATGTAGTGCCTTTTCCTCTAAGATCCAAATAGACTGAGAATCAGAAAAGGAAGGAATTCAAGAAACTTGATTTTATTTTGGTTTATTGCTTGGCAATGGCAAAAAAAAAAAAAAAAAAAAAAACTTCATCTGCCTGGGGAACTTTTCAAGTGCTTGCTGTTGTTTATGTTTATTAATTCCAAGTGGCTTTTCCCAAGAAGAGCTCTAGAATTTTCACACAATTTTCCTACTTTTAAAGAAAAAAAATGGATAAATCAGATGTGTTAGAAAAAAAATGAATATGAGATATAAAGAGTAGAGGAGAAGAATAAATAAAATCAAAATAAGTAAGACAAGAAAGAGTTTGAAAGTCAGTTGAGTAGCTTTAAAGTTTGGTCGTCACCAGTGGAGAGAGATCTCAGGATGGATGGATTCTCAAAGGTCATTTAGTCTCCAAATTGAGAACAAAAACCCTTTAAATAACTGGTGATTGACTGAACCTTTCCACACCAGCACTGACTGCCTCCTAGAATCTCTACCACATTTCCATCCTACACACTAGCACACTTCCTAAAGCCACGGCAGCCTCAATGTGATAGAATTCAGTGGGTGGTCAGTAGTGGTTTACAGAAAGAGAAAGCTGTTCCAAGAGGTCTACATGACTCACAAGAATCAAGATACTTCAGAAGATGGATCTCCAAATCCTAATCTTCTTATGTAGACAGTCTTGAGGAAAAAAGTGATTCTGACGGAATTTTTGAAGAAAAACAGTTTTGAGGGAACAAAGATGTACAAGTTATGTTCTACATTTACAAGGGATTACAAAACAGAGTAATGATGACTATGCAAATAATTTCTCTAATTTGAAACGTGTGGAGAGTTCACGTGTTTAAAAGAACAGTGTTGATATTTTTTTCTCAAGTTTTAAAAAGTTCTTGATGAATGAGATACTTACATGGGGAAATTCACCTAGGATGATCACCATTGTATTGACATCTGCTCTGGTACACAGGGTGCAGAGTTAAGAAGAAGACACGCTACTTACCCTATGAGAAAATTGGAGAGATCTTAGCTTGGAGCTCTAATGTTTCCAGATGACTGAAATCGAAAGCAGACTTCCTCTTCTTGCCCTGTTCAGACAAGTTCTGTTTGTACAAAATGAATAAACTCTTATTTACTTGTGTAAATTCTTACGTGCTTGTGCCCACTTTATGGCAGGGCACAGAGTGGTAAGGTGATCAATTTCTCCAGGAATGATTCTCTTCTTGGTGTACTTTGAAAACTGGGTACTGCTTCAGGCTTACAACACAATTCACAGCTTAAACTTCAAGAACACCCTAGAATTCTCTGGGCTTGGTGTTATTGGCTTTGAATAAAGGCATTTCTAAAATTTGGGGGAAAATTTTTCAACTTCTCATTCCACAATGATGGCAGAAAAACACCATGTTTTCCCCCCTTCAGCTTTAAATATTAAAATTTTTTTATGCAAGTGGACAAGTTTAGGAAATATAATCTCCTTAGAAATCTAAATTAGATATTCAAAATCCTGATTTTCTAATTGACCATAAAGAACACAAAATTGACAAATAGGTTGGGAATTGGTTACTTAGTTTACAAATACATAATTTCAATTTATCTTTTGATCCATCATTTTTGTCCCATTTCTGGTAGAAATGGTTTCTTAGCCATGAACTTTGTTGAATGTTTCAGGGCCTCCCCCAATATATTGAAAAAAGAGAATCTGTCCTGTTTATGCAGAAGGATTAATGGATTCCGCTTGTTAAACACCCACTGTGGCTGTTAAATTGTGTCCTGGAATATGAGAAAATACAATTATTCCATGCTACATACAAGTGTTCCATGAACACTGTGTGCTCACCCTCTTGCAACCTTTTCCAAAATTAAAAAAAGATAGTGCCCAATGCTGTAGAATCATTGCAGTGCCTCTTTTCTTACCTCTATGATTACAGAAATTGAAAAGATGTTCTCCTAATTTTCAAATGTGCAGATGATGAATTTTACCAGGACCATGAATGTTTCCAGATCTGCAGAACAGAGGGGCCTAATCTGGGGTGAAGCAGGAAGTTAGCAATTGCCTGGAATAGCACTGGTGAGGACATTGCTTACACTCACTTGGATTTAACTGTGAAGCTCCTCTCCTGGCTGGCAAGGGGCAGGCAAATGGGGCTATGACTGCACACCTGGGAGGTAGGAAAAGGGCAGTTTAACTTTTTTGGTTCATTTCTACAAACCTGTGCTGGTGTACCAGGTGCTGCCTTTGACACCTGCTATGTCTCACCTCTGTGTCTTCATCCCTTAAGTTCATATGTTAAAATTCTAACTCCCAACATAACATTGGGAAGTGGGGATTCTTTGGGAGTAAATTAGTTTTGGAGGAGGCACCTACCCCACAAAAGGGATCAGTGCCTTCATAGAAGAGGCCCCTGAAAGACTACTTCCACGCCCCCCGCCCCTAACACACCTCAGGACACAGTAAAAAGATACCCTCTGTGATCCACTTACCAGACATGGAATCTGCCTCTCCAATGCAATCTTTGACTTCTCGGCATCCTGAACTGTGAGAAACTTCTGTTGCTTCTGACCTACCTAGTCTATAGTGTAATGTTCTCACAGTCAGAAGAGACAAGGATGCAGTGCGTCATCAAAGTATAACATCCCAGCAGAATTTGCTTTTATACCGTTGTAAGGCAAACTCTGGGCCACTCTTAGGTCAAAGCCCAGCACCCCAACTTCCTAGCTGTGTCCCTGGGTAGAAGATTTAGTCCAACTGCGCTTGGTTGCTCAAGTGCAAATGGGAGTGAGTAGAGTGCCTGCCCCATCCGGTGGTTCCGACACTTCCAGGCAGCAATTCTTAGGATGTCTATAGAAAAGAAACCTTGGACCCTTCCTGGTGGCACAATGGGTTATAGCGCAGCAATGTGAAGCTGGCCACTTTCCAGCATGATATGAAGCTGGCCAATATGAAACTGGACATTTTGGCACGAGTTCAATCCCCGCCTTGGAGGTGATCCACATGGCAGCAGACCTCTCCTGACCTGTCCACTGCTCCCCTCAGCAGTGTACTTCATCAGTTGGCCTGTTCTGCTCCCCACTCTGTCTCTGGTGAATCCTCTCACCGCCTCTGCACCTCTGGCCTGTACCCCAGTTCTATATGCATAAGTAAATACATCTTTAAAAAGAAAACCTGGCAGACTGTGTGCTCAATGAAAGCTCAGATTACATTCCCATCAAGTTATCAGTCACCAGTGACTGTTTAATTACTGGGAGGTGACTTGTCTTTTTCATCTCAGCAGCACATCTTCATTCAATCTTCATTCGTCCTTGAAAAGGGTTTATTGACTTAATGGAACCAATGGCAGGTCAGAAGCCCCCAATGAAGCAATGCCCTGGAGTTCACACAGGCTGTCAGCATCGGAAACAGGCACCTCGCAGAGCTGTCTGGTTCTCCAGATGTTCCCCACTGCCTCTCTAAGGATGAACTTACTGCTGGACGTGAGCTAGAACTTCAAAGTCAATGTTGAACTCCTTATCAAATATATTTTGGGGCATCATGCCAGATACAGGACCCATTTAGCTACTGCTTTAGTCTTACCTCACGCGAATACCAAAAGATTTGGGGGTGATTCAAAGAGGGTTTTTGTTATAGTGTATTGCAGCTGTTCCATCCAATTATTTAGCTAAAATGCTCTGGTGCCTAAAATGAATTTTCTTTAATCCAGAGCCCATCCTTTGATTGATGTTCGAGTACACGTAGTTTTTTTTTTTTTTAATCTGTTTATATTGTAACTTCAATTGTGTGCTCATCATGTACTCATTTGTACACTCTTTTTATATTTTGGAAGAGGATTAGCAAAAACAGAAATAAAGTACTGGAGAAATAGAAGCGAAGTTAAAGAGAATTACAGATGAGGAGTTGCAGGGATTTGGGAATTCTGCTTTGGGAGAAATAACAGGAACTAAATAAAATTTGTCCCAAGCCTTGGAACCTTAATACTGTCTTTGGGGGTGTGCAGGGCTGTGGTGGACAGAATCTGATGGAAGAGGGTGCTTTGCTTTGCAGCCCTCAGACTTGTGCTGTCCAGCAAGATATCAAAATTGGTAAAAGGAATTTCTAACCCAATTCTGGTTACTGGATTAAATCAAGGTTTTTCAGAGCATTTTCCCTTAAAAGCTACCTTGACTTTCTAGGATGAATAAAGGAAAGATTTAGATAGCATCCCCAAGATGGGAATCAAAACTTCATAAAATGTCTGATTGAACTGAATATATGGACAAGGAATGAAACCTTAGAAAACAAGTACACCCTTGGGGGCATCCTCTCTTGTGATCTGTGGACCAGGGCTGATCCCTTACGTTTTATTATTTGTCTGCTGGGGAAGAACAGACACTGAGAATAGGCAGTTTGACGTCATTGCGACCTTGAGTCATTGTAAGACTTTGACAATTAGCAGTTGGGAGGTTATTTTATGTCTTTTTCATTTGATTATAAATACATGGTCATAATGGATGCCTTTGGTTCTTTATATATTATTTTGCTTCCCTTTTAATGTATAATTTATTTTTATATATTTAACATCATTGTTCATTTTTATACAATGTTTGCTTTCTTTTCTCAGGCGTAGTCCCCAGAGAATTTCCACTATGTTTTTTTGTTTTTTTTTTTTTTTGCAGCACTGTTTATAATCGGTAAGATGTGGAATCAACCCAAATACCTAAAAATAGTCAAATGGATAAAGAAGATGTATATAGACACAATGGAATACTACCCAGCAATCAAAAAAGATAAACTCATGCCATTCATAGCAACATGGATGGAGCTGGATGAAATTATGCTCAGTGAAATAAGTCAGAAAGAAAAAGAAAAATACCAGTGTATTCCTTTGTTTCTTATTTCATGCTTCAGAGTGATTCATTACTTTATATAAAAAATCAGTTAAGGATAGACTGGGGAAGGGAAATAATTCATCCTTTTCTACAGATAGTTTGAGAAATACTGCCTTAGAATGAATTGTTTTTCTTATAAAATATAGCAGATTTACAACCATCACATTAAAGGAAATAAAGTAGAAAGGAAGAAAAAGTTTCTACTAAGAAAACAAATATAAATGGAGGTTAATTTTATATTGGTCCACATTCCTATTTAAAGAAATAAAAAGTGTCATTGATAATCTTTTCAGACAATATGTTCTATTTTTTATTTTTGTATATGTAAAATATAAAAGCTTGGAGGTTGCATATATATCATTATCTACTAATCATATATAGAGCTTAATATCATATAATACTATCAGTGATTTCTTTCACAGCAAAGCATTTTAAAGCCCTCAAAAAAACGATGTTGAGATCAATGTGTTAAATTCATAATTTTGGTATGTATATTATCTCAGGTCTAGAAATTCCAGAGATTAATTACCTATAATACAGCACATGAAATCATTTTGTTCTTCCTGAATTTACTTGCTTCAAAGGTATAGTAATGTTCGCACTCGAGAAGAAAACATTTTATTTTTTCCAGTGCTGTCAATTTCTGTTTTGCTTCTGTTTAGGCAGTGTGAGGCTGGTTTTAAGTGGCTCTGGCTACATTCAAGGGGACACGTTTGGAGGCTGCAAGTTAGCACCAGCCTAGAAGCTTAAAGTGCTTCTCACTTACCGTGATCAAGGTGGCCACTTTCTCCCTGGGTCCTCTGGCTCAAGTCATTGGCACACAGATTTGGATGTTGCTTTAGAGGATGTAAGCCACCTGCACACAGAAAATGCACACTATGTGATAAAGAATATGGAGGTTGAAGTCAAACTTCTTTTTTAATTGTCATTTTTTATTGGTTTAGAACATTGTGCACAGATTGGAGATATAGGATACAAATGTTCAGATGTGTGTTACCACACTATACCCATCACCAGAGGATTCAGAATCCTCTACCACAATTGAAGGTCCCCTTTGCTCTGCACCTTTTGGTAGTTTTAATTCTGCAGTCAGATTTCTAGAATTTTTGAGTTAGTTTTATCTCTTTCTTTTATTTCTTCATTATCCACACTTGAATGAAACTGCCCTTTATTTGTTTTTCACCTTTTGTTTATTTAGCATCATCTTCTAAGGCCAATCACCATGTATAGTTTGAGTGCTTGGACAAGCTACATAGTGTCTCTAAACCTCTGTTTCTTCATTTGCTAAATAGATTTATAATATAACTTAGGTTTTTAGTTCTCTTCAGGTGAAACTATTGGTCTTTGTCCTCTGATCTGGCAGGAAAAGAAAGTATTTGGATATATTATAGGGTGAGAAGAGAAAGCCAGCTGGAGATCTTGCAACCCAGACTGTGGAAATGAGCCACCGAATTGTTCTTTTTAGTTCTTTCTAACCAACCCCTCTCCGCTTTTGTCTCCCCGGGCTGAGTAACAGCTGTTATATAATAATCCTCATGATGATGGGAATACATGCATTGTATCTTTATCTTCAGCAACCACTCAGCAAAAAAGGAGTTGTGAGTTTTATCATGATGAATTTTACTAATTAGGTTTTCTGCTCTATGTGTTTCCTGGCCTTGAGAACTGACACTGGGAATTTTATACCAGGAAGTTGCAGCTGTGTTCATATAGCATGAAGCTTCAGGAGGAGTTTCCATAATTTGATGAGTTTGGTAATCTAACTTTCATGCACATTAATCCTCACTGGACTAGGACAACTAAGCTTGTCTATTGACTGAGAATTCAATGAATATTCTCTTGTCTAGTGTGTTGTGAAGGTATTGAGACGGGGTATTTTTATCATGGTTGTCAGTAATTAGGACAAATATTCTGGAGAGTTTCAATAAGCTATTAGTTTTCTATTCCTGCTATAATGAACTACTACACACTTAGCCACTTAAAACAACACAAATTTATTGTCTCAGCTTCCGAAGGTCAAATTGCAGGCATGGTTTGAGTCAACTGCTTGTTTATAATCTCATAAGATTGATAACAAGGTTGTAACTTTTGCTGGAACCTCTATGGTTAAATTCCCTTCCAAACTCAATCTGATTGTTCAAAGTATTCGGTTTCACATAGTTGTAAGCATGGAGCTCTATGTCCTTTCTGATTTTATTGTGTTTATTGCAGACATATTCTAGACTTATATTCTTTGATTCATGGCACATTACCACCATCTTCAAAATGTGCAACGGTGAATAAAGTCAAGATCAAGTCTCAAAATCTCCATTTCTGCCACATCTCTCTGTCTGGTTTCCAGTTTCATAATTCAAAAATTTCAATTTTCCCAGTTCTCATTATATTCAGAGTCCAACAAGCTAGTAAGACTAAAATAGGGATTTAACTATGTTTAACCGTCAACTCAGTGTTAGCAGATGTATTCTGTGCATTATACAGAGAGACATGGAGTATAAAGATGCTCAGTAAGACCCAACCTGAAGGATACTGGCGATGCTCTGTGTATTTGGGAGGACTTCGAGGTGGTAGGTGGAGAAAGTGGTCTCGGGGCATGGGCCACCCATTTGCAGTCTGTGAAATCTCTCTGGAGAGGGAATCAAATATTTGTTCATCGAATTTTCTTCCTGATTAGAGATTAGAAAACTATCACAATAAAACAACTGCTTCATGGATGTACAACAACTGTAGATATTCTCTGTGTCTATTTCACAGGCCTACTACTTTGGTTAACACAATCTTCCTGTATCATTGCTTGTTCCCTGGTTGTAAGCTGCTCAACAAAGCTGTGTTTTATTGAAACTTAGGTATTCTCAACCCTGTTTTCAGAGTCACACTTGCTTTTTGGGTTTTTTTTTTTTTGCCCTATTTCTCTTGCATTTTATTCGCTCCTCCAAAGTATCACTTCCTGGAGTCCAAGTTCTTGAGGTTTCTGAGTCTTCCAGTATGTTGCTCAGTCATGTATAATGCTCTTCACCTTTCCATTTGTTATGATTGCTTCAGGAACCCACCTCAAATATCACCTTTTTGGGGAAGCTTTATGCAAATAAATTAATAATTAATATATCTTAGATAGACATTAGATTAGATAATAAAGGCAATTAATAATAAAATACATAACAATAAAAAGACATTAGTATCTTTACACAGACTCAGAATTTAATTCTAAAAAGCTTCTAGGTGAGTATTATTTTATCCATTGTAATGAGAAAGAAATATACTCATATTGAATAGCTTGCTTCATGGAGTAAGTCCAGAGTAAAACCAGGTTGCAAATCCATGGTTCAATGACTCTTTTGCTTGTCACTGCATTATGACTTTTAATGATGAATTTCCTCATGATTCATGGCCTATCCAAGGTCACTTTCTGCACAAACCATTCTTAATTCTCTGAAGTACATCAGCCTTAGATTTGAAATGTCCTTCTCCATTGTTGAAAATATTATCAATTCTTTTCTGGACTATTTTCCCTTACTCTCTACATTCCCTGATATGCTGAGGACTGGGGCCAGGTTGCAAGGACTCTGTCTTGTTTAATGGACCCAGCATTCTGGAAAAAAAAAAATGTTTGGTAAATAACCAAAGAATTGATCACACCTCTGTGCTGATTTTTAAAGAGTCTGACATAAGGCACAAGAATGATTCTGCTTATATGAGGGGAGTGTTAGGATAGATGACTTAAGTCATGCTGTAGTTATCTCTAATCCCCTTAATTGAGGTTTCAGCTTTGAAGTTAAACCCCAATATGATTAAGATTGCATTACTGACCTCACGCACCACTCCTGCTATACATCAACCCTAGCCTCCCTGGGAGTATCAACCTTTGCAAGGTTAAAACTAATGTTCGAGGTACAAACCCCCACAGTGAGTGGTGCCAGAAGACAGGGCCTTGGAAAGCTGCATAAAACTACCCAACTCTTCTTCACATAATGACTTTGTCACTTGTTAACCAATTAGTAACTGGCCTCTGTGACTGAATGTCTTTTCTGGATTTGCTCCATACACAAGGACAGAACTATAAGTGGGCTTTTCTTTTAACCAAGTGCCATCCATTTCCATGAAAGCACTTCCTGGCCTTTTTTACTTCCTTGTCTGTAACCAGAGTGAAAGTAATGTTTCCTACTTAAGGGAAATGGGCCTGTTAAATAGTGTGTTCTGAAAACAGCAGATTCCATAAGCATTTATGAAACTACTGGATTTTCAAAGTAAATAGTAGACATCTGAATATTGTTTTAACATATTTGATGCTAAGTGCATGTTTTAAAAAATTTCCCTTAAGTAAAATACATGCTAAGGAACATGTTCATGCCTTCTAATTTTAAGCTTTATGAATATTATGTCCCTATACTTCACAGGAACTGGTAAAATGACAACACAAATAGACTGTGATCAACTATAATATGATGTTAAATGACAAGGCGTGACATAATGTAACATGATATCTAGAGTAAACACTAAAAAATTCACACTATCTTCAGCAGAAAATATACCCTAAAAAACATTATAGATTAATTAAAATGACATTCTAGAAAATGTTCATCAAGTAAAACTTATAGGAAGGCAGAGACAAAAAAACAGAGAGGTAAAAGTCAAAAATAAAATACTATTGTATTTCCACATGAGAAAATAATTCCCATTTCAATTCCTCCCAAACTTCTGACCAAGTCAGGCCAGGCCCAGCCTGACAGCAAGGGCCTGCCTCCTTAGACATGGACTAGATGGCTATAGGGACCAAGCAGAGAAGGCTGGGGGTAGAGTCTGGGCTGCTACAAGTTAGCCAGACCCCTAGAATTTCACATGGCCTTCTTTGCTAAGGTTACTGTCCTTTATCACAAATGATAGAAGTTTTCATATACAAGGGTTAATAGATGTTCCATTTTTTTTTACTTAAGGAGAATAGATTAATCTCTGAAAAATATTCAATATATGATAACTCATGAATCTAAAAGAACATAAACCAGAAAGATGATATCCATATGACTAAAGTATGTGAACACATGTAGGCAAGGTAGTAGTCATTTCCAATCACATAAGTAATAAAACATTTCCATAATAAAATAATCATTCTTTATTTTTATACTTTTAAACTCACTATATGTGAGTTCCTTACAATCAAAAAAGATGCAAATTTTGTTTCCTTAGGTGTGTGACATTATACTGTAACATAATGATCTCCTTTTTCATAATACAAAGGTAAATTTTGGCCTGCTCTTGTTCAAATGATCACAGATTTGTAATATGAAATTTATTTATCAGAACTATTAGATGACTTAGGGAAACAAAATCAAGTTTTCACTTTGGAAATTAGATTCTGATTCTTGAAGAAAGAAACAAGAAGTTAATGTTAATGGTACTTATTTATACCTATGAAGAATGATTTTAATGAATGTTTAGTAAATTGAATTTTGTAATGCAATATATATTGAGAAGAAGAATGTTTCACAATGTCCTTCACAGCATTTTCAAACAATTTCTTACTCCTTTACTTCTGGGAACAATGGTTTGTTTCATATTTTGCTCTAACATCCATTTCAGAAGAATGAAAGGTTCTACTTGTGGGAAATGACATTTCAAAACTGGTAGAAAGGGAAGAGCATACTCATGAAGAATGATTCACTTTAGAGGCCTAGCTCTCTCTGATGGCCAGTACCACTATGTGTCAAGTTCAGTTACTTTGATAAACAATATTGAAAAAAAAAAAAACCCTCCTCCTATAGAAATTATACTGTGATAGGTGTCGGACTAAAACTATAAGGGAAAATGGTAAGGTGATTTTTATAATGATAAGCACTATGCAGACAAGAAAAGAGGGAGTTTTAG